TCCTCATCCCTCCATCTCTCTCTTCAACTGTTCAACTCCAATTTCCCATCTTTCTTCCTCATCTCTCTCTACCTCCCTATCTTTCTACCTGCTAAAACGAATAAGTTCTTGGCAGCAACCGAGTTCAAATCAAACCCAAAACTTAAGGTCGTGTAAAAATAGGTCTAAGGTGCCCAACCTCGGACGTACAACAGTAATTTCTTTATAATCGAAGTGAAGGATAAATCCAACACTTTCCGTTCAAACAGCTGCATGACAGCGATAATAAGCATGCCCGCATCTGATTCCTTATGACAAGCTACACAATAGTTACGATGGACATTCTTACATCTGAATATTTCACAATTTCCCGGTTCCAAAATAACCGTCTAGAAAGACACGTCAGACTCCGAGTATCTTGCTTGGCATGCCACGTGGGTTCCTCACTGAAGCATATAAATACCTTCCAGGGTCACGTCAAAAAAGTAATTGAAACCAATCCTAAACTCCTTTTATTCTCATTCTAAAGGTAACTCCGATTATTGCTGACTTAAGTATTGGAGTGTTTACCCCGAGTTCTACCTCGGGACTTTGCAGGTCAATTTAGAGTGCAGACGTGGACTGGAGAAGGACTTCTGGTTTGATGCAATTACAGGTCGTAATGAACTTAAACTTTGGTTCATAATGAACTCAAGACTTGGATTTAAATCAAACCTAATACCTAGGTTTGTCATGAACTTAATATTTGAATTTAAATTGAACCTAAGAATTGGGTTTGTCACATATAGTTCTTTTAGGTTCATTTGAAATGGAATTAAATTTTTGTTTGTTTGTTTTTAGGAGAACGAATTGACTATAAATTGATGATAATAGCATTGGATGATTTCTTCTAAAAACTTTCTAAATGGATTAAGGGAAGAAGATTGATAGAGTTTAGGGTGAGATTGTTTCTGAAAGGATTAATGGATGAAGATTGATAGAGTTTAGGATGAGATTCGAGGGAGAAAGAGTGGAGAAGAGACAGGAAATAATTGGTTAATTAAAATATTTTCTTTAATTAAGGTTTAAAATATAGTTAATCATTTAATTAGTTAATTTTATTGACTTAATTC